CAGAAAAAAGGCTCCCGAAAATTCTAGGTGACCTTTTAAGGTCCGTTAAAAATGGGCAATTATACCATTTTTCAGATGTTCGAAAATCCTAGGAGAGGAAGGCAAGCAAGAAATTTTACAGCAAATATTCCGAAAATTCTAGATCTCAAATCGTCTTCCGAACAGATATTTTCCGAAAATTGACGTTGGTTGCCCCTGCCTTACTAATCAAAGGCTCCTAGGAGCGAGCTCATGGATGAATTGAATTAGTGTAGAAAAAAAACATTCCATTTTGAAATTCAGGCGTTTTAAACAGTTTGGGCACTGTAACAGATTCAACTTTCTCCTTCGTTTTTTTTTTTTTTATGTTCAGGACTTTCTGTGTGTTGGTATACTTGATAGATCATGTTTACTGATTTCTTTAGCATTTGATTTTAATTTTGGCAGGTTTTTTTTGGCATACAGTATTTAGCATTTGGTTTTTGGCATGTTCACCGGAATATTCTAGAAACTTGTTGTCAGCGTAGCACTTCTGTTTAACGCAAAGNTATTTTAGTATTTAAACGGTAGATATAGGCATATTTTTATCCCCTAAAAATTTTTCATCTGTTCGCATTTCCTAGCTGAAAGTCTAGTGATCCGAAAATTATAGGGATCAAAACTTACCTTTTCGAAAATTTCGGCCAGAAAAAAGGCTCCCGAAAATTCTAGGTGACCTTTTAAGGTCCGTTAAAAATGGGCAATTATACCATTTTTCAGATGTTCGAAAATCCTAGGAGAGGAAGGCAAGCAAGAAATTTTACAGCAAATATTCCGAAAATTCTAGATCTCAAATCGTCTTCCGAACAGATATTTTCCGAAAATTGACGTTGGTTGCCCCTGCCTTACTAATCAAAGGCTCCTAGGAGCGAGCTCATGGATGAATTGAATTAGTGTAGAAAAAAAACATTCCATTTTGAAATTCAGGCGTTTTAAACAGTTTGGGCACTGTAACAGATTCAACTTTCTCCTTCGTTTTTTTTTTTTTTTATGTTCAGGACTTTCTGTGTGTTGGTATACTTGATAGATCATGTTTACTGATTTCTTTAGCATTTGATTTTAATTTTGGCAGGTTTTTTTTGGCATACAGTATTTAGCATTTGGTTTTTGGCATGTTCACCGGAATATTCTAGAAACTTGTTGTCAGCGTAGCACTTCTGTTTAACGCAAAGATCACTTTAAACTTATTAATTTAACCCTTTTTAGTTGTAAAATAATTTGCTTTCACATGTTTCTGTCAAACACTTTCCGAACGATAGTGCACAGGAGTTCCTTGTAAAATAGCTAAGTTTTAAATAAGGTCGAGTTTTATATAAATCGTGGTTTTAAACAATTATTTTACTGGACCTCGGGGGTTTCATATAAAAGTGCTTTAAAATAAATGTATCCATATGCTGTTCACAAAGAGTACGTAACGGTCAGTATATGTACTACGAGCTATTAAATAAAGAATTCAGGCGTTTATGGCTAAGTTAAACTGCTTTAGAGCGCGCTTTTGCTAAACACTAGCTAAACATTATTTTAATAGCGGAGCTCTGGCGCGCGAAGCGCGCCTGCGGAGCACCATGAGTAAGTAAATCTACCCATCCCAGAAAATTTGGTAACCACGTGACCGTACACCGCCCGCCCGCCCGCTGCCCGTCCGTCCGCACCACAGGCATACCAATGTTTACTCTCACACTTTCTAGCTACTTTGGGAGCCCAGGAGAAAGCTGATTGCACATCAATTTGCATCAATGTTGTCATCAATTGACAGTCGTCAAAACAGGGTATCCGCTGACCAGTATCACCTGACCGTTTCGCGGGCTCAGATGTCGACCCATCAAGGTCGAGTATTTTTTTAAAGTTATCCGCTGACAATTTACTCATTTTCAAATGATCGCAGGCTCACGTTTACTTTTTTTTTATTTTTAATTCATATCAAAGATGTTGTTTTGATGTCAGTATCGCCCCGCACTATCACGATTTTGATTTCAAACTGACCGCAGACGCAAAAATTCAGCCAGAAAATACAGGCGGGGAAGACCTTTTCTAACCATGGTCATGTGTTTGTCACGCTCCACGTCCAATTTTTATGCTCTGATTGGTTAAAATTTGACAGGTGAGTTCATGCGTAAAATTTATGCAGCGTCTTGAAAGTTGTTTACTTTGACAGCTGAAGCTGACAGAGTTTTGAGTCAACTTGTGATGTTTTTAACTGCCTTTTTCCACTGGATGTAAAAAATGAACATAACATAACATAATCTTTATTTAACGTGGGAGAAACACTTAGCTAAAGCTATTTTGCAGGTTTTCCACAAATCAATATTAAAAAAGAAAGAAAGAAATATGTACATAGAAATGTAAAAATATAAAATATCTAGCATCTAAAATTACAAAATTAGATGAACTAAAATTGAATGTTCCTCACTTGTTTGTTAAATTCTGGACCTCCAGCTCTTAAACGCAATTCATTTGGAATATTGTTCCATTGTTTTGCGGCGAAATATCTGAAGGAGTTTAATCCATACTTTGTAGTATTTACTTTTGGCA